TCCAGCAGACCAACTCAGGACATCATCCACCATGCCTGGGCCAGGCAAGCAAGTGGGAGATTTTCATGAAGATGGTAATTCACAAAAAAAATTGATGAAATTTCCTGGGGTGTGAACTGGGCAAAGGGAGTGACCCTTTCTCTGACAGTCAGTGAGGAGGGTGGCCAGAAGTCACCTGTAGAGTTCCAGATTTTGAAGTCACTGTTGCTTTGAGTTGTTCTTATGGAAAAGCATTTTCTAGCACACACATTTTCCTGTTTGCTGTGCAGGCTGCATTTGCTTTGGCCAAAGCAGCACCACTGGGCAGTACAGAGAGCTCCAGCTGATCACTGGGATCCTCCTCACAAACCTGGCCAGCCCTGCACCAGCCTCATGCCTTCCCTCTGAGTCTCAGTCTCCTCCTTTGTTACCTGGGATAAAAATATTCCTCAAATTTCCATCATAGGGCAGTGAAGAGGCTTTATAACCAGTCAGGGTGATAGACTCGGAGGGTGGCCAGGAAACAAGAGTTCTGAATAGTTGTGATTTACCAACTCTTTACTTCATATAATCAAGAGGCCATGCCAGAAATTACAGTGTCTTGGAGAGTAAAAGAGAGTCTCTGGATTATTTTTTCTAAGTGAATGTATTCATAAATAAATTTCTTTATGCACAAATTTATCCTTTGCAGTTTACAAACAGATTTATCAAACACTTACTCTGGGCCCTGGGAACATAGGAGAGAACAGACAGACAATATGCCTGCCCTTGTGATTTTTACAGTCTGTTGGGGAAGACAGGATAGTTGCAATGAAGACAAGTGACATAAGTGTTCTGTCATTTCTATTGTAAATGTTGTAAAGGAGACATAGAAGGTTGTGGGCTCAAGAATAATGGGAACAGGCAATAAGGTAGTGTGCCTGTCTGGTGCTCATGAATGGAGTACCACCCCTTATTTGTATACCCTAAACACCACTTTACCAGGGGAGGCCTCATTTCAACTGGATCAATTTCCCATGATGCAGGAAGAGGAAGAACATTAACCAATTCCTGCCATATAACATTATTCTACGGTCATCCCAAATTAATAAACATTATTGTAAGAGTGATTCGTGATCCTTACCAGAACCCAAGTCAAGAGGCGATGGGATGGAGGGCATGTCTATCTCAGAGAAGGTGATTATGCTGAGGCTGGTGGGTAAATTGGGTGGGGCAACCTGCCATTGGGGAAAACACTCAATGTTAAGTGTATAGACCACCAATGGGAGAATAA